CTCACACCATCTACAAAAACGACCTCAAGATGGATGGAAGACTTAAATGTAAAACCTGAAACTATAAAGTTCATCAAAGAAAACATAGATGCAAACTTAGGAGCCCTAAGATATGCAATAAATAGACTATCAAATATAACTAAAAATACACAGTGAAAGACAAACTAGAGGACCTTCTAAAAATTAAATTCTTATGTGCATCAAAAGACTTCTTCAAAAGAATAAAAAGAGAACCTACAGATTGGGAAAAATATTCAGCAATAACACATCTGACAGGTGCTTATCTTAAAAATTTATAGAAAACTCTAATCCCTCAACATCAAAAAGACAAACAATACAATTGAAAATGGGCAGAAGACATGAACAGACAACAATTCACCAAAGAAGATATTCAGGCAGCCAAAAAAAAAGTATGAAGAAATGCTCATGATCATTAGCCATTAGAGAGATGCAAATCAAAACGAGAAGGAGCTATCATCTCATTCCAGCAATAATAGCACAGTTCAACAAAACAAAAAATAATAAATGCTGGTAAGGATGTGGAGAGATTGGAACTCTCGTACACTGCTGGTAAGACTGTAAAGTGATACAACCACTGTGGAAAACAGTATGTTGCACCCTTAAAAAGTTAGAAGTAGAAATACTGTTTGATCCAGCAATCTTATTACTGGTATATATCCTAAAGAAGTGAGAGTGAGGACCTGGATCATCACATGTTCATTGCAGTACTATTCAGAATAGCAAAGCTGTGGAAACAACATAAGTGCCCATCAACAGACAACCAAATTATGTTGATACATACAGTGGAATACTATGCAACACAAAAGAATAATGAAAAATCTATGAAACAACTTATAATGTGGATGTACTTGGAGGGCATTATGCTGAATGAAATAAGTCAATCACAGAATGGCAGGTATTGTATAAATTCACTATTATAAAAAGTCAAAAAAAAGTTTACACATGGAAGGTAACTTTCTTGTTGATTTCCAGGGATGGCAGTCAATTCACTACTATCAAGTTCCAACTCATACCCCTCCGTGGGATTCCGAGGTGGTATCTCTACTGAAGTAGATAGCCCAGTCTTCCTTCCGAGGAGTGGCTGGCTGGTGGGTTTGAACCACCAGCCTTCTGGTTAGCAGTCAAATGCCTTAGGCACTATGCCACCAGAGCTCCTATATATAACTATGGCAGACAATATTTCTACATATGGATTTATATGTGGTATAAGACTGTCCATAAATATAATAGAGCTAAAGTGACAAAATAATAACTTGATGACTTCTTAGCCACAGTCAACCACTATGAGGGAATAAGTTGTCAGGCCCGTGGGCTTGGGACCACAGTCGCAGGGGACATCAAGCTCAGTTGACATAACATACTATACAAAAACATTGTTCTACATCCTACTTTGGCAAGTAGTGACTGAGATCTTAAAAGTTTGCAAGTGGCCATTTAAGATGCAACAATTGGTCTCTCCTCGTCCAGAGCAAAGAAGAATGACGAAAACCAAAGACACATGGAAACGATTAGTCTAAGGGACTACTGGACCATGGGGACCTCAGCCTACATGACGCTGAGACTAGAAGAACTAGATGGTGCCTGGCTACCAGTCAATCACTCAGAAAGAGATCTGTGTAGGAGATCCTGGATACAGTGGGAGAAAAATGTGGAACAAAACTCAAAATCATAAAAAAGACCAGGCTATTGGTATGATAGAGACTGGTAAAACCCTTGAGACTAAGGCCCCTAGTCACCCTTTGGGCCTGAATTGAATTCACTCCCATAGCTACCAGTCAAACAACAGACAGGAGTATAAGGTGAACTTTTATACCACATAGGTACACTTCTTAAAACAATCAACCAAAGGAAATCAGAAGGGCAGTATTTTCATGGGGAGACAGCTCAGAGGGCAGAAATGCACAGCAAAGAAGGGTACAGGGAAAAGTTAACCAGAGGGAGGAATTGGGAAGAGAGCTGTTACATTATGGGGATTACAATAAATGTCATGACACAAAATGTGTACGAACTATTGTATGGAAAATAAATTTGCTCTGTAAACTTTTACCCAAATCACAACAGTAAAAAAAAAAAA